GTTTTTGCAATAGTAATCCCTTACTTTACTCGTTACTTGAAAAAAGTAATCGGATTACAGTAACGCGTTACTGCCCATCTCTGCTGGTCACAGCAGATGGTTTCCCCTCCCTGAGCCTGGTTCTGCTGGATGTTTCCTGGTAAAAGGGAGTTTTTCCTTTCCACTGTTGCCAATTGGTTGTCTGACTGCTGGTGTTTTCTCTTATTATTGTTGGGTCTTTACCTTACAATATAAAGTGCCTTGAGGTGATTGTTGTTGTGATTGTTGTTGCTGATCTTTTTTTTTCTGTATTTATCTCTCCGTCATTCTGAAGGAACTAAATACTGGAGAAGTACAAATCCATCAATCCATAATGTTGGGAACATCTTTGGGCAGCACTCCCACCTCTCCTATCCCAGGCCACTGTCCAAGCCCTGATTGCCAGTCAGATGGTCCTTCTTCTGTTGTTCTCCTGCATCAGTACCCTCCATGCTGGGTAACCCAGGCACAGTGTGACCTTGCCCAGGCAGAGGTAGAGCTGCGCAGGCTGCAGGAGCATCACGAAACTGAGACTGAATCTGTAAAGCGTGGTGTAGAGCGAGCTATCCTGGGAGCACGCAGAGAAGAGCAGCGCCTGCTGGAGAGGGTGGAGCAGGACCATCGGGACACTCAGCAGCGTCTAGACCAGATCCAGCGGGAGAACGTGGCAGCAGCCCGGGTCAGCCAGTCCCTGTTGGACCAGCGGCTTTGCAAACTGGCAGAACTGAAAAAGCAGATTCAGGAATTGGGTCAATCAGTTGTAAAGGACAGTGGGCCAAGCCAGAACCCACTGCTGAAGGAGATTTCAGAGTTCCTACAACCTTGGGAAATCTCAGTTTCTCTAAAGAAAGTGAACTTCAAACCAAGCTCACAACCGAATGCTGTCAACTTTGGAGATATTCGTGTTCAAGAACAAAGCCTTTGCCTGCATGCTGGAGGTTGTGGGCCACAAGGACAGCCATGTGCTCTTCATTCACAAGAGATGCTCTGTGAAGACACAAACTACCAAGGTTCTGGAAAAGAGAAGAGCACCCAAGGACAGGGATTTATTTCACCAACCGGCAGGGTTGTTAGAAAGATCAGCCTTTCTAACCGGGGTGACCTAGAATCAGAGGAGGAAAAAAAGCACTCTTCTGCAAAGATGTGTCACTGCGAACAGGCTGACTGGGAATCGTCTCAGGAAGATGAGGTAGAATCAGTTTCCTTCCAGCCACAAGGTGAGGACGTATTTTTGGCTGTACCTACAGTTCTTAAAAAATGGGACATGGAAGACGAGGACAAGATAAACAAGAATGGGAAACCTTACTCACCAAGGAATAAGAGGAAATGGCTAACTGTGGCCTCCAGCAGGAAGTCAAACCTTTTACCTGAACAAAAACAGCAGCATATAAAGCTTAGTCAGTGCTTAAGTTTAGACGGTCAAAATGGAGATAAGGGAAGAGTTGGTCAAGATTCCAATTATAGACTTTTAAGATACTGCAACAGTTCCCTAACATCTCAAAGGGAACCTTCAGCCAGCCAAAGCTGCCTAGACCTCACATCCAGGGGTCGACCCCCCTCTTGCCTCAGCCAGTCTTCTGATGAACACTCTCTAGGGACGCTCGGTGACTCTGGCCGAGCACCATCCCCAACAGACAGCCTTGATTCTAGCTATACTTTCATTGTTAGCCCATCTCATGACTACAGTATGAACAGAGGCTCTTTGAATTACAGTTGCCGCTTATCAAAGTCTGCAGTGGACTTGACTCACAAGACGCGCCCATTGATTACTAGTGGGCCAATTGAGCAAGGATTGTGGGGGACTAGGGGCAGCAACTTCAAGACGAGCTTCACCTCAACCTCGCCGACTCTCAGAAGGAAATTGCAAGCCTCTGACATGGGGCATACTTTCTCGTCGCCTTCCTATAGAGGTCAAAATATTTTATACCAGCCACAGAAACAGGCCACAGCTGCTGGATCAAAACAACCTCCTGTGGCTAGGTCTTTATCCCTGTCTGTTATAGATGGTTCCTGTACAACAGAACTCGAGGCAAAAAAGTGGGGCAGAGGACAAAGAAGGCA